TTAGCAGTAATATGAGTTAATTTACTCAAGTGAAAGCTTGAAACATTAGCCTGATACATAACTAGCCAACTTAAGGCTTTCTGGTTAACCCTCTGGGGTCGACGGGCCCAGAGTCTCCATTTCAACTCGGGTCGAACGTGCGGACTTCAAACTGTATACCAGTGTTTAAATTGTGTGATAGGCCACGTAAAACCGATGTTTTTTGTTTTCAATAAAACAGTGGCGTTTACTCCGGGAAGAAACTGTAAAAACGGCGTTTTCTAAGCGCTAGCAAACACGCTTTGCTTGTGAGTGAAAAACAACAGTTATTGGTGAAAAAAGAAAACAACAACTCCTTCTCTATTGGTGGAAAAATGTACCATGTTGACCAATCAAAAAAATGATATGGCAACATGTGGCATCTGGTTGTTTGGGAAGAGGGGGAAGTTTTAGGAGTGAGCGAAAGAGAGAGACAGTTTTGATACGTGAGAAATTTGTGAGGTTTACCGTGTTTGGAGTCTCAAGTAGGGGTGGGCGATATAAACGATATACGATAGGAACGATATGAATTTGGCCAACGATAGAGATTTTGACTATATCGCGATAGCGCATGTTGATGATGTCATCTAGCTGTGCCTGTTGTGGTCGAAAGCATCGCAGCGGCTACAACCATTATCATTATAAGTGCCTGTTGGTTGAAAACCTGCGCCAGAGTTCTGGCAGGCAGGCCAATGATTTTAGAGCACACTGATGCAGTGTGCTGCAGTCTGTTCTTGTTCTGAAGGCTGAGGGAGTGGAACCAGCAGGTAATGGAGAAGGTCATGATGCTTTCCAGGAAGGCGTAGTAAAGTCATCACGATGGGTGTGCTGACTCCAAAGGAGTTGAGTTTCCTAAGGAGGTATAGCCATCGGTGGCACCTCCTGAGAATCTCCTCTGTCTTGGCAGAGAATTTCAGGAGGTTGTCAAAGATGGTTCCCAGGTATTTGTACTCCTCAACTACCTCCACTGGCTTCCCGTGGATGGTGGTGGTGGCTGCCTACTGGAGAAGGTCACCACCATCTCTTTGGTTTTGCTCACGTTCAGTTCAAGTTTGGATCTGTCACACCACTCTACAAACTCCTGCAGAGTGGGCCCGTGGTGCTGTGAGGGGCCTGACAGGAGAACTGTGTCGTCAGCATATTTCACCAGGTGACAGAGCTGTGTGGATCTGCAGTCATCGGTGTAGATGATGAAGAGCAGGGGGGAGCGCACACAGCCCTGGTGGGAGCCAGTGGAGGTGGAATGGAGACCGGAACGTTTACTGTTTAGAGAAGGATAGAAGGAGCTTCACGGTGTCCTTGGTCGTGTCCAAATTCATGGGCTGCATCCTCCTGAGGCCGCATTTGTAGACCGATTACGTCACAGCGACGCGCCAAAGGCTGTTCAAATTCGTAGACTCCTCCGAATGCAGCCGACGGGTGTGTCCTTCGTGGCCCACCATATCCCAGAATTCATAGCGCGGCCCAGCCAAACTCCAGTTTCCAA